TAACTTTTGGAGGTGAGTACCTCCGAAGAAGGCCTGCAAGCACGAAAAAGCAAATGGGTTAGATAAAGTAAAGCGAAGGGTAAACTGTCTAAACAGAATGGGATAAGTCACCTGAAAAGGATGGGCCATTGTCCACTCGGTCGCTTGCGTTGCTTCGAGTCTCTCGAGTTGGCGCTCATCTTCGAGAAGAGGAAAATAGTCTACCATGGCTCTGACGAAAGACGTGTCAGAGTAGGCCGAAGTGTCAAACAGGATAACGATCTTTACATTATCGTCATCCGACACCACCAAGGTAGTAGTCGACAGCGTCTTCTGCGTCGATTGGGGAGCATCAGCCAGATTCATTTCTGTTAGAGCCGACGAGCTCCTACCCTATTCGGTCCTTCTGTGTTTTCGTGCAGACTTTGACCGATGTTTCTCCTTTATCTCCTTCACCGATGACACTTTAAACTCGCTGAACATTCTTTCTTCTGCAAGGTACAATTCTTCAACTGTTAGTGGATGGCGTACGGATCTACCAAATACGATGAGGTTGCTATACCGAGCCAGCAACACGTAGAGCAGCAGATGCCCGAGCGGAACAAGTATACCTTTATACACCTCGGGAACTTGACTCCGCAAAGGACTTCTCTGCAAATTCGCCTCGTTTAACACTTAGCGGTAGTTCCTTTCCTCCTCCGGCAAGGCTAGAATTGCTCGGCTCCTTTCCTAGGCACAAAAACCTAGCAAATGTCTATTGTAGTTGAGATCTACAAAAGAAGAAACAATGAGATTAAGTACTAACACTTGAAATAGAAACCAAGCCTTATCATCAATTGACTACTAGAAGAATGGGATGCCCTCGACTCTTCTTGCTCCGAAAACCATTTCACCCCTGATAAAAAAGGATATATCCTTCCACTTTTTGTCATATGACTTCAGCCTTGTCACCAAATGCTTCCGGCCATGCCGAAGCATGAAAAGATAGCGATCTCTCTCCTTATCATGCTCCTTCAGGTAATACAAAAGGAGCAGATCCATCACCCTAAACTCCATTATGAGCTGAGCGCCCAAACATTCTATCGACATGAGCAATCGCTAGACATTCGACATCAACTGGCTTGGAGCGATGTCGTAGTGACTTAACACTTCACGAACTAGTTGAGGAATAGGGAAACACATCCCCTCTACCAAGGTCTGCTCATAAATGCTTATCCAACACGGCACATACTAGTCCACTCTTTCGAACCAGCTTGGTACCCTCATCTCTATCGAAGTTGGAATCTTGTACAGATATCGAAGCTTCGATAGTTTCACCGGCTCAATCCGCGACAGAGGATTATCAGCTAACATTCTTGCATCGGGTCAACTCTGCTTATCTCCATCAGTGTCACTAGTTGACGAAACCTCACTACCGTCGGCACGACCCACATTGGTGGCATCCTCTAACTCATCGCTAGACCCTCCGTCGGTCGACTCATCATCGCTCGGCTCTACATTAGACCCGCTCGGCTCTACATTAGACCCACTCGGCTCATCACTAGGATGAAAGGCGACACTCACCCTTTCGGATGAAGTTACCTTATCACCTTCTGGCATCACCACCATAGTCGGTGTGTCCTCATATTCGTTCCCTCCGGACATCACTGCTTTGCTTTATGGACTTTGATCTTCCTCCATCTTGGTGCCTTCCAAGTACCCCGATACTTAACCCCACTCGGCTCAGATCCTGATCCGAACCAAATAAAGCCCCTTTCACTACATATCCCTCTTAGACCCAACCGAAAAACCGCCCCGTTCAGCAGGTACCAACTCAGAATTCCCAAAAACCACCCTTTCTCCAAGAAATGTAGGATTTCGAACCAAAAACAAGCTAGAACCCCCAAAACAGTATCCTAAACCCTCTTTTCCTCGCCTTTTTTTGAAACAAAAACAATGAAAAATCAAGAAAAAAGACAAAAGAAGCAAAGATTTACCGGATTCAAGAACAGAAAACGCGAAACTCCCAAAGGAAATAAGCGAAATCGATATTCTCTCTCTTTCCTAAAGGAACTTGAACGCGAAGAATGGCAGGAACGAAGGGTCACCACCTTTAACTGACAGGGGATAGGTGGCGTGATCTCATTAGTTGTGAGAGGCCAGAGACTTTTCGTTTCCTGCACGTGGCTTACATTAAGTGAGAGGCTCACACGCCTAAGTCGTGCCAACTCGGGCCCCTCTTAGTCCCTCTAAGCCGAACTGGCTATGCCAATCCTGGTAAAACCCCTCTACTGCACGGCGAGGACCCATGCCGTCATAACGGTGTCTCCCCGAAAGGTCGGTGACATCCTGGTAAGCCCCGCCGAAGTCATCGATGTGCATCCAATTGGCAGAACAAAGCCCAAGACGCGGCGGGCTAGCTTAACATCTGATAAACACGCAGAGACGACCCGAACGATGAATACCTCGCCCCGGTCTGATACCCTTCCACAAGTCAAACCTAGACTAGCCGAGCAGGCTTGAGCGTTATAACCACAATTTGTACACCCTCCTTTTAGTTTGGCTTGGTAACTCGAATCGAGCCGATTCGCATGCGTCCCAATGACGCCTCGACGGCTAAGCAACTCGCTGAAGAACCATGGCCTACACGCATCCCGTAAGCAGATATTCGATCCTACTCTCTTAAGCTAGATACTCTTTAACTTAAGAGAGTGGGGGACAAACTGTATGGGCCAAAATTCGTATTGGACCTGACGAGGTCCAACTGCAACAATAATGAATGACAGCCTAGAGCCTTAGCCCAATCCCGATTGGGCCCACGCTTAGAACACCTTACGAATTGCCAGCTCTATGAGTTGGGCCATCCCCCGAGTTAAGCTAAACTGGGTCCGGCCCATTCACTCGCAGCAGTCCATAACGAGGATCAAAATCCTAACCAAACTCCTTTATCGACAAAACCTCGACAGATAAAGGCAAAGAATCTAATATGTTCCCGAAAAGAGAGTTCTCTTACCAAATAGGGCTCAGAGTCCTACTAGGATTTGGGCCTCCGCGATTCACTATATAAGCTAAGGTCAGCCCACCCATAGGGGGAGATAATTAGAAAACCCTACTACTTATATCACCAAACCCATAATCTACCTCAATCCCCTGGCATTGCTTGGACTCACTGAGAGACACTAGGAGGCACCCCGCAGGTCCACCAAGGTTGTTAGTGGCTCGCTCCACACGATTCATTTCTAAACTCGATTGTAAATTTTAGCATTTACAGTAATCTTGATTAAATAGTTTTTTTTTTTTTTTTTTTTTTTTTTTTTTTTTTTTTTTTGTGTTCCTTCATATTAAATATTAAATTTGTAATATGATCATTAATTATACAAATATGATATTTTTATTAATGAAAATTTTTTCAATGATATGTTGCAATTTTTTTTTTAATATGCAACCAAATTTTTCATCTAATCTTATATCTTTGGTTCGATTAGATGTTATGAGCTTGCCTAGAACACAATTTGTTGATCTCCAAATAACAGAAAGGTTGCTTTTCAAAACCACAAATTTTAATCCCTAGAAAAAGGATCTCTATTTGTTATTCCACTTTATTGAAATATGAAATGTTATTACCATATCACATCGACTACATTATATATTTTAGAAAATACTATTACACCATCGTCTTATTCGATATTTTATAGAAGAAGTCTAAGATTACTTTGAAACATATTCTTTATTATTTGATAACCTTATCTCTCAACTCGATCATATATTCTAGAAGCTGAAGACCATTGAAAAGATTTGATGGTCTAATCATGGGTAACTTGCCTCTAATACCCCACCGATCATATGTACTAAAAGTTAGAGAATTGTTGAAGAGATTCAATAGTCCAACTATGGGTAACGGTACCTTTGATACTTCTTAACTGGATCATAGTTCTGAAAATTGAAAACCATCGAATAGACTAATGCTCCAAGTATACCCAGTCAGTAACACATTAAAAATCTCAAAACCATATTTGTACCTTTTTCAACCATTATATATACATGTAACAAATAAAATGTTATTATGAAAAGTTGTTTATATTTATTTCCATAAAATATCAGTTCCTAACAATGTATTCATAACCACCCAGGGAAAGCCTGCAAAAGTTGCTGAGTCCCAAATTGACCAGTTTAATCGTTTTGACCGATCGGTCAATCAGGTGTCAAAAATTAAAATTCACAAAAATACATCTAAATTACTGTTAAGTCCCTACATGTTTGAAATTTAGCAAACACACCCCAAATATAAATCGGTGATCGACTGTTGGCAACGGCGACACACCAAATGCAATCTCAATCATTCCCTAGCTTATTCCCCTAGAAAGTCTACCTAAGATGTGGCCGAAATCGGCTCGATTTCAGCCACATCTCACCAGCGCTAATATCGACATTCTAGGCCAGATTTCACCACCGCTAGCATCGACAACCCTCCCCATCGCCACAAAAATACTCCCCCATTTCGACTTGATCTCACTGACGTCGGTGTCGACATTTCAGGCCAGATCTCACCACCGCTGGCATCGACAACCCTCCCCATCACCACAAAAATACTTCCCTCAGCCTCTTGACCAAAACTCATCTCACCCCACTCCTGTTCACCTCATCAATTGCCGACAAAAGCCAATTGTTACCGCCACCGATTTTTTTTTTTTTTATTTCCAGTCGATTCACTCATTGGAAATCACCTTCATCGCCACCATTGCACTCATCAACACTTTCTCCTCAAAAGCCCCAACATCTAGGTCTTCAATTGTTTGTAGATCATCATCCTAATTTCTAGAGTTTTCGGTGAATAGGGAAATGAATAACCCGACCCAATGAAAGCCCTCGGTCTTGGTTGAATCGATTCAATTGTCGAGCCAGGTTTTAAAACACTAGTTCCTAAATAAAAGAAAAAAGAATAAAGACATAAATTTTGTGGGTTTATTGAACAAATAGTACAGATAACAAGATACGCTAACCAGGATTGTTAGATGTGCTTCACCAAATTTGGATGCAGGGAATATCAAAATCTGCTTATAATTGTTATCTTTATCAAGAAAATGATTTACAAGTCATGTATATGCTAAGCGGTATATACAACACATACGTTAAGACGAATCATAAAGGTCTAGAAATCCTCACAGGTAGTGTATGTGTTTTAACTCTTTGAATCGCGAATCATGAAGGTCTAGAAATCCTCACAGGGAGTGTATGTGTTTAACTCTTTGAATCGCTTGCTTCACTTTCGTAGAGGGTTCTTCAAACAAGATGGCAGGGTTGTCAAACTCGGATGCCACACTGGGTTCGCCAAGAAAAGCTCGAAATGAATCTGCAACTGAATATGAAAGAGACTTGAGGTTGTATCCTCCTTCCAAGAAGAACACACAGCGGCCTCCACACAGCTCTTTCGCAAGTTGTTTGATATTTGCTGCAAGCATGTAAAATGTTCCTGTTGTAAACTGTAGACCGGCAAGCGGATCTAATACGTGACCATCATATCTGGCAAAGTTCAGTTGCAAGACATGCAAACGGGTAAACGTTTAGAATAGTGATTATAATTCAATCTAGGCCCCTACCTTTAGTACAAATGATTTAAACCTTCCTTTCGAATTTTGAAGTTTCTTATATATCTATCCAACTAATCTGATAGGGACAACGAGTTTGCCTCTCTGTGTGTGGATAGGTGTAGATGCGAATGCGTGTGTATGCAACATAATTGAAATGTCAAATTAAATACTAAATTATGTATGCGATCATTAAATGGCCACCAAGTTCACATCTTTCTTGAACCCTATTGTCAAGTGACCTTGCGCGAACTAGAATGCAGTGTGCAATAAAATTAGTATTACACATGGGAAAAGCTAACTCACCCAGCAGAGACAAGAATTATATCTGGCTTGAACCTTTGAGCACATGGAACGATGACTTCATCAAAAACAGTTCTCATGGCAATGTCACCGGAGCCTCCTGGTAAAGGCAGATTTAGAGTCGTTCCTTCACCATCTCCATGGCCTACCTCATGAATTTTACCAGTGCCCGGATAGCTTCCATCCTGTGTTCATAGAGATTTTATTAATGATTGGTTAGACAATAGGCAAATACTGAAACAAAACTTATTTGATCAGCATCTGTCTGTTGTCAACATTACACCTAGGTGATTTTTGATGTCAATGTTCTCATTCTGATTGTGCTTAAATATTTACTTTTGAGCATAATTTAGTTGACCTAATTGAAAAAATTATGATTCAAGCCACTGTATTCTTTACTCCCAGATACACTGATCCTAATCAAAAGCAAATTATTTTTAGCCACAACAACAGATGAGACTTCATTGCCAGTAGGAAAGCTAGGGAATAAAATCAGATAGCATAATACGAAATTGACAACTTTATATTGGCACATGACAAAAAGGGTTAAAAAACGTTAGATAGTATGGTGACATTGCTTACTTGGTGTGTTGAAAGGAAGAATATATCTGGATCATCATAGAAGGCATCATTTGTGCCATTCCCATGGTGAACATCGAAATCAATGATAAATACACGCTTCAATCCATGGACACGTTGAGCATAACGAGCTGCTATGGCCACATTCCCGAAAACACAAAAACCCATAGGCCCCTTTGGTATAGCATGATGTCCCGGAGGTCTTATCAAAGCAAAACCCATAGGTGGATCAAGGCTGCTCTTTGATGTTGAAACCTGCTACACCGAAAAAAGGCTTTAGGATGGTGGGTATTCCATATAACAAGTTTGATATCTGACAATCATAAAGAAGTAAATGGTAACTGGTTTGAAAAACCTTTGAAAATTGGGGCACATTTCAGAATAAAATTCTGTTTTCTTACAATCACAAAGTAGTCACAGGTACAATTGGGTTAAAAAATCAATTGAACTTTGGTGCACATTAAAATATGCGTTTCTGCATTTAGAAATAAAAAAACTCAAATCCATCCAGTGACACTGACATGATTTCCACACCCACAAACAGGAAAATATTTGTATAAAGGGACTAACGTTCTAGATAGGTACATCACCACTGAATCAACAAGGGAAATGCCAGCTCCAGCTGCAACAAGTGACTCCTGGAATGTCTGCAAGAATAATACCATAAAGAGAAAGAAGGGAAGGAACAACATTTTGATTTCATACTGAAGCATCAAAATTGAAACTAGTTAATGTGTGGCTAAGATAATGATGTGGTCAAGAACAAACCATAAACTCTATACAGAAATTACAGTTTCATACACCAATTAACAAATTATCAAATTACCCAAAAATAAGAGTTATTTCCACCACTTACGACTAGACAAACCAGAGGGCCTTTATATCTTTACGAATAAGTAATATATCTATTTAGAAAGTACTTCTGAAACCATAACACATTTTATCTCAATTAAACTTATGAATATGATGAATGCTTTGCATGTGAACTGCTTCAGTGATAACTCCCCATTTTTTACTTATCAAACAAAAAATGTTTGTTTATCTTTAGTTTGCATGTTTGAGGATGAGAAGAAATGGAATATTACATTAAACCGCTGAAATTTATGATAAATAAAAACCAAGATTGTTCTTTGTAAGAATCAGAAAGATTTACAAGGTTCTTACTCAAATTCATTTTATTAGATTTTCTTGCAGTAAAGCTGTATCGTGTACATAGTATATAGAAGAAGAGAGTGAATTGCACGTAAATCAAAGGTAAAAAGAACCAATAAAATACACTTACAGTGGCAGTAGCATATGTTGGTCCAGAGCCTTCAATAACCACAATGCCTTGTTGTGAAGCCCGATCCATAGCCTAAAAATGCATTTAATGAGTTAGCCCTCATTGTGACATCCTATCAAGTCCCAGTTAAACAAAAACACATTTCTGTGTGCAGGCATGTTATGTGTGTACATAAAATGACTTATTTTTTAGCAAAACAAATGGAAGCAACCAACAAGAAAGGGCATTAGTAATACAGAACTGATTCCACCTCAAGAAATTTGCTCTAAGATATGACCAAAACAAGAAATGAAAGAAACAAAAAAAGGAAACTGTAGTAGGAAAATTGTAAGAAACCTTCTCAAGTCCTGATACATATGCTCTTTCATGAACATTTGCAACGTCATCTACTGAAGCAGGCTTATAATTTTGAAGTTCAATGATCTCTGATCCACGGAACTGAGACATACGGAAATGACAAAAGTATTAATGGCTATAACAAATTGGTTCACCTGAAAATACCATTGTTCAACGATTATTTTAAACAGTGATCTTATCACAGAATAATTCAACTTATTTATACTATAGAATAGGGTGTAATCTTCTCCATCTCGTGAAACCCCTTTGTCCATAGTAATCCATGAAAAACTTCATTAAGGAGGAATGCTTGCTTGATCCTCGGTGTTGCAGTATTTCTCATATATCATTATCCTTATGCTTATGCTGTAGCCTTTTTTATACATTATTACACATCTAATGTAAAGCTTAAGCCTATTAATTGAAGTACTGATATAATTGTCTACTCCTTGCCAATTAAGACAGTTAATCAAATGTTGTGCTTTTATCTTTCGTAGAAAACTGAAAAAATAATAAATTAGAAGAAAACAACATGATCATAATAATCATAGTATTTATAAAAGGTATAATCTTAGTCAATAGTGATGGTTGTCAAGTCTTCTCCTTTTGTTCCCAAAGTCAAATATTTTCGTTTTCTTTCCAAAGGCCTTAATGATCATGACCTATAAAATAAAGACAAACACCTAATATCTAACTGCATTAGTTGTCCGGTGTGTATTGGATTTAGAAAGGATATGTTAGCTTGGACAATTTTTTGACGGCGTCCAAGCTAACACTATAAAAATATTTTCCTTTTCTTTCCAACGACCTAGTGACCATGTCAATAAGTCACACAAAAAAGACCTCAATGATCACACAAAAAATGTGACAATTGTCCAAGCCAACATGATGAAATCCAGAGAATTCTAAGAAACAGGAAAGGTAACATTATATCTAAGTGCATTAGTTGTCCACTTGCTGCAATCTTTTAATTTGAACTAAAAAAAAGGATAAAAACAAGACCGCTATAAACCTCACCGGTTCATTCTTTAATTGTGATATTATCTATAGACAACAAATATTCTCAACAAGCATTAAGACAATTCTTTAAACCAATAATTTCATGAAATAATTAACCTCCGGTGATATAGATTAATCTAATAAAAATTTGAGAAAAAATCCAACTTTGGGCAGTGCAATCACAATTGTGATTATCTTATAATCTAGCTTTCAGTAGTTTCCAAAACATACAGGAGTTGACACGTCAATAGCTAAGATAAATGAGAAGCCATCCAAGTATATAGTGGCATATAATTAGGCAAGAGAAAAAGGTCAGCATAAGTTGAAAAACATAACAATGAATGATAATATAACATGTATGCAGTGAATACCTTTGAAGTGAGTTCCATCTCTTCAAGAGTAGTCACAATTGCAGGAACTCTAAAATGGGATTCTGGATGTGACTCCTGTTAGCAATAAGTAATCCAAACTACAATTAGAGGAACATGTAACTCTTTGAACTCGTAATAACAGGGAATGCATTAATTGGAAGAGGAAAAAAATTTAGTTGAAATAGCTGAATTTTTGGGTTGTCAATGGAAAAACTTGAATAAGTGCTGTTATTGCTGCAGACAAATTGTTACGATTATGCCATTTAGTATGCCAAAATTATGAGTGCAAGATATTTTTCTTCTAGTGAAAAAGCAATCAGCTTGACTTTTTCAGTCTGCCAAATAAACCCCTCTGTAGGTCTTATGTATGCATAGAGAAAAAGGTACAATTTCATTAGACCCTACAGAACCAATGAACTGAAGTTAAGTTTAATTTAAGAATGAAAATGAGAATGACAAATAATCAAGTGAGATGAGCCAAATCCATACAATATATCTCACCCATTACATATTCTTTCATTTTGACCTATCTTGAGGTTTTGCTAAAACCTATACAGATCCCTTCTTCCTAAATTTATTAAATTTTCACTTAAGTTTAATAAAATTCATTGGAAACTTCTTCAGAAGTCTCATAATATTTGAAGTGCAGGGGAGGTCGCTGACCCCAATAAAAAAAACCTTGGATTGATAATACACAAAAATACTTCATAAACTATGTATATTAATATTCTGTAACACGCTTATTCATCTATATAAAGTGAAGGAGACAAGTAAATATACCTGATTATGGCCCATAGCAGGAGCTACACTATAAATCACCCGTGCATCACTTAGCTTGAAATCTTGATTATTTCCTTCATTTAATGAACAAGAAACAGAACCTTCATTACTTTTTGTCAAGTATTTCCTTCCACATGTCGGATGCTTCCCAAACCGTCTATCCCTTAAAAATGTGAGATCCATACCAGACTGATTATGACTTCTCCACTTGCATACATGATGTTTCATCAAAGACAACACATTTCCTAACATAAGCACAAGAAATATCTTCATCACAAAAACTTATAAATCCACCGCAATACAAAACGTCACAAGAGCCTCCATAATCAAGCTAACATCAACAATTTAGAGCTTCTTCCTTTCACTTCCAAATATAAATTGAACAAAATCTCAACTCAGTCTTTAAGCTAATTTCATCTTCAAATACAAACCCTTTGGTTCTAATCATTGAGTTCCCACAAAAACATTTGTTTCAACTTCCATTTTCTTTTTAATCAAAAAGACTGAACTTGAACCACCCAAAAGTGAGTCAAAACGTAACCTAACAACAGAAACTAAAATGAAGAAAAAAAATCTACTTTACTAAGTGATACGAATACTGGGTATGTTCTGAATATTTAACGAACTCGACCAGCAAACCAACAATTCAAGAAGATTATCCCTAAAATACCATAAACAACAAAGAATAAAACAGAGTTTTTTTACAAGTTCGTAAAGGCTTATATTATTATCCAAGAAAATAAAATGCTACCCACTAAACTTATTCCTTCAGAAAGCTTGAAAAATTCAAACTTTACATTGAAAGCGAGAGAGAGAGAGAGAGGCACCTGTAAAAGATGGAGGGCGGAAAGTTTGAAGCTCCATTGAGAAAGCGATTAAGCGAGTACTAAGCAAAGCAGAGGCCAAATGTGCAATGGCCAACCGTTTAATATCTCTTTTGTTTTAGTATATTTTTTTTGGATCATTTTGTTCGCAATTAATATTATTAATACTTAAAAGAAAGTTGTTAGGTTTGGGTTGAAAAATAACCATAGGTGGAAGTAGACCTGGTAAAACGGGCGGGTGGTTCGGGTTTGGGTCAGGTCATCACGGGTACAAGCCTAATATAGGTCGAGATATACGGATCCAAAATACTGGGCCCGTAACCTACCCTATGCGAGTACGGGTGGAACTGCGGGTATCCGTTTTTTCTCTCTCCAGGTTTTAGTTTTACTTTTCACCTCCAATAGTTTTCAATTATGACAGTTACACCCCCAAAATTCCTGCAGTTTTAATTTTTTACATTTACACCCCCAAAATCAACTACTCTAAATTCAATTCAATTTAGAATATAAACAAATACGAACCAAAATAAACAAATAACACATAAACAAACACAATAAGTCAATAACATATAATACAAAACTATAAATACCAACCAAAATAAACAAATACTAATCACTAATAGTAATACAAATAAATAAACACAACAAGTCAATAACATATAATACAAAACTACAAATAACAACCACAATAAACAAATACATAATCACCAATACACATAAACAAACACAATAAGTCAATAAACTACAAATGCCAACTAAAATAAACAAATACATAATCAAATGTTCAACAAAAAACATTCTTAGGGCAGCAAATGTTCATCCCACAGTGGGGGTGATAGAGTCTCTTGATTCTACAGTCCTAGGATTAGTTAATGGCACATCAAGATCATCATCCGAATCATCATTCACATCATCATCTACAAAACAATGATCAACTACAAATATTAATAAATGTAAATAATAAAATATATGAAATATTATGTTAACATGTTACCTGTAAACTCATATCCATTAGCCAAGTCCGAGTGCAAATCAAAGATTCTGCATTTTTTGGTCGAAGTGAGCTTCGATATTTGTTGAGCACTTTACTGCCAATACTAAAAGCGGACTCCGAAGCAACAGATGTTATTGGTATTGCCATGATATCACAAGCCATCATGGCAAGTACCGGATAACGATAACGATTGTTCTTCCAATGATCGAAGATATCCAAATTCTGATATTTGACGCGATCAAACCTCAGCTCTTCCAAATAAAGATCTAATTCGGATTTCTTAGTGGAAATGAAATCACTCTCATAGTTGTCAAAATCTTGCACCATTTAAATAGTTAAGTGTCAAAAGTTAAAATTAAACAATAAACAATACTTTATTTATCATAAGAATATAAAAACTAAAAAGTATAGTGACTTACAGAAGAATGATCTACACGCCTACCAAGAGTAGGACCACTCGCAGGAGAAACAACTGAAGGTGAGGCAGGAACTTCTTTGGAACATTGAGCCTCGTAAGCTTGAAAAAGCTTTTGCAAGTTATTCTTAACAACCTCCAACTTCCGTGTGGCAGTAGTTAAATCATAAACTTTCTTGAAAGCATACTCCACAAACTGAAACTTGAGACGTGGGTCAAGAATAGTTGCAATCGTCAACACAAGACTATAAGAATCCCAATATTATGTAAATTTTGGGATCATTTGTTCCGCCATGCTCCTAACAACTTCATCCTCACTCATCCTCTCTTCAATTAAACACAATTGAATTTCCCACACACATTTCAGGTACAACTTTGCTGTAGGATATTTAAAACTCGAGAATAAAGTCGTAATATCATAAAATGGTTCCAAGAACTTGCATATCCTCGCCCCCCTATCCCATTCGTCATCCGATGGACAAAATTTATAACTGAGATCTATTGTTGATAAAGCCACAAACACAGGACGATATATTAACGCTGTTTCAAGCATTAAAAATGTCGAATTCCATCTAGTGGAAACATCCAATCTCAACCCCATTGAGCTTTTCATTCCCATTTGTACAGCAAGTTCTCCAAACTTAATTCTTTTTGCCTCAGTTGCTTTAATATATTTCACACTATCTCGAATCTTATTTAAAGCTACACTAGTAGCTTTTAACCATTCTTAAACAATAAGATTCAAGATATGTGAAAAACATCGCACATGGAAAATTTCACCCCTACATAACAAAGCATTCTGCACACAAAGCTAGTTCCTCAAGATATCCTCCATCCTATCATTACTTCTTGCATTATCCAAAGTAATTGAGAAAACTTTCTTTTGAATTCCACACTCTTGCAAAAAATTCATAATATTATATGCCAAAACAACCCTTGAGTGTGGAGGAGGAATATGGCAAAAGTTCAGTATTTTACTTTGTAACTCCCAATCCTCATCTATATAATGAGTTGTCAAAGAAATATATCTCTCAGTTGTACCAAAAGTCCAAACATCAAAAGTTAAGCATATTCTACTAGTAAGCCTCCCTAATTCAAGCTTAGTTTTTTGCTTCATCCTTTCATATATTTTCAAACAATCCACCTTAGCAGTGTTCCTAGAATAATGCTTAAGCTCCTTACACACATACGAAAAGACTCTCCTAGTTTCTTGATTCTCCGCATATGAATATGGATAATTGTGTTGAATAATTGATAAGGCCATATATTCACGATAAGTCTCTTGACTAATCTTTCCACTTTGCAATCTATGATCATGATCAATCAATAATTGTCCTACATCATGGTTGACACGTTTTGGACAATCTCCCATATGATGCTTCAAATTTTTAGTCCCATGTGTGGTATACCATATGCATAAGTTTTATTGCATGCCTTACACCTAGCCCTCTCATTCTTATTCTCATCAACATATGTCTTAAAGTAATTCCAAACTTTTGATGTTTTACGTTTATTTTTAGAACTAGTTGCAGGAATACTAGAATTAAAAGGAGGTGGCATTACCCTAGAAGCATCGTCACTTGCTCTCATGTTAACCATATCCGTATCTATAGTTTCAGAATCTGCCATGTCAATGCTTGAGACTACCAATATATATATTAGATTGACGGGGTGATATTACAATAATATTAATATAAACATTACAATAAAATAGATTGAAAAATAAATATAACTAAATGTTTGTTTGAATGACTCAATAACCTGGGATCGAAAAGTAATGGGAGCAAATTAATTGCTTTTTCTTGGTTGATATTTGTATGGATGCATTCTGGTCAGTTTTAGTGGGCTTCTTCCTATTGTGTCTTTACGTTCTTTCCTCACTTCTGTTTATCAAAATGAAGTAATTTAAGTCTATCCTCCATCCTAGCTTGGACTTAATAAACATAAATATCTTGCTTACGAAAATAGTGCTTCTTGTTTTTTCTCCCTAATGTTTACGTTGGATTGAATAAATCAACCTATGGCTCTATTTTTTCTTTTATACTATGGTCAAATAAATACCTTTAGTTCATAATAATGTTTGAATTCAAGTCCCATACCCATAAGAGCTCTGAAGTTTATTGACAGTTTTTGATCACACAACAACAACCCTTTTTAACCCTTAAATCTATTACAAATTTAGGAATCTTCGTAGGGATTTTTCTAATTTAATTGTAAGTTTAATAAGTATATTCCTTCATGAAATCTTGCTATCATAGTTTCTGATATGACATACAATGAAGGGGTAAACTAAGTTTTTCAACAACTCCTTATTTGAAAAATAAATATATTAGATTGACGGGGTGATATGACATACAATGAAGGTCAATGGTCAAAAGATTTGCATTTACATTACCTCCTCTTGTTTAAGTGCAACACTTGTTTTTAGACTTTTCACAAACACCAAATACGCATATAGCTATCTCAAAATCAAAACCCCACGTCATAAAATTTACACAGACATTTTCACAAACACCAAACACGCATATAGCATTACAAGCCACAAACTTAAAAAATAAAAAAAATAAATAAAGAACACACACACACACTTTACCTTGTTGTTTTAATTTGTATTAGATATGTTAAAAATTAAATCTCTAACTTGATTGAAAGAAGAAACATGTTTATAGGGCAATTATAAACATGTTAAAAACTCATTGATCTGCAATGGTGGTGTGAGAGAAGAGATGTTGACGGCGACGATGATGTGAGATAGTGAGAGAGGAGAGTTGCGAGTCTTGCGATGGAGAGAGAGAGGAGATGGCGACTTGGCGAGTGGCAACTGTGGTCTATGACTTGTGAGAGAGAGGAGATGGCGAGTGGCGACCATGACTTGTGAAAGAGACGAGATGGCGAGTGGCAACTCTGGTTTGTGAGAGAGAGGAGTTCAGAGATGGCGACGGTGGGACTGGGATGAGAAATTGAGAATGAGATGAGACTTGAGAGTTGAGAGAATGAGAGTTCAGAGTCGAATTGTTTTAGTTAGGGATTTCAATTTTCAAATCCCTTGTTTTTTTTTTTTGAACAATAAATAGGTACCCGCGAGTTTACCCGTATAACCTGTTGATAATACAGGTTGGGTCGAGTACGGGTCTGAAAAAACGAGTCCAATACATTAGACTCGTACCCTATATTTTTTACCCGGGTACAAGTTGACTCGCGGGTCTGGTTTGCCATGTCTAGGTGGAAGTCAAATGATCCAATTCAAAAACCATGACACTTCACCCTCTCACCCTTACATGAAATTACAAATTATGTTGGTTTTTTATTAGATTAATTTTAGTTGAACTGATAATGTAGAGTGGAACAATTTTTTTTTATTTAATTATTTTTTATTCACACAATAAAGAAAAATAGGGTTCAGAATGGAAAAATATTGAGTAATTTTGCACACAACATGTGCACAGATTGTGCATGTTATGTGCATGATATATAAGATGAAAGTAGCACATACATAGAGCTCAAGGGGTTTTAATATATATATACATTTTGAAAATTGACTTATTACAATCTATAAGTAATAAGAATTTAGTAATCCATAAGGAATAGGAATTTAGTAATCCTAATCCCACTCCTAATGGAAATGAGAATGAGATAA